TGGGATGTCCCAGAAGCAGGCTGGAGGACTGCAATGTATCCTGTTGGTACTGATGGCACTTCGGGCTGCTGGTAAGAGGAGCAGCACATGTATGCAGGGAAAGGGACTCTGCACAGCTCTCCTGAGACCCCGTACAGCCCACCAGAGACCATGCACAGCTCCCCTGGGACCCCGTGTTTGCTGTATCCAGTGACTGACAGGTTGCGCAAAATGTCCTAAACAGGAAGGGGTGGGGCAAATTTAGATTGGGGGGTGCCCGAGTTTAGTCTTGCCTAGGGCAGCACAAAACCAAAATACATCACTGATACTGAGCTTAGGGTGACGGGAAGACGCTAGTTTGTGTCCTCCCGTTACCCTAAGGAGAACTATGGGGAAAAGCCTTAACCCCATAGTTCTCCTATAATGTCTATGACTTTTTATCCTGGGTTGTTGCTGATCTTCTCATACCATGGGCTCTCATTATAAACTATTCACACAGCCATTCGCCCTGTGTGAACTCGTGTTCCTCATTATGGCCGCTAGATTGAGCTAAGAAAGAAAGGAAATAAGTATCTATTCCCTATGCTCCTCAGCTCCATTTAGTGGCCATGATGCAGTGGCGTCACAAGGGGGGTGTGGCCCGCACCCAGGTGACAACATTGCAGGGGTGACACCAAAATGACAGTCATTTTGGTGCCACCCCCCCTCTAGAAAGTCAGGCACTCGGTCATGGGCTGAGAGCCTGACAGTGTCAGGAGAGAGGAGGGGACCCGGCGGCATACCTCATCCCGCTGGGTGAACGTCCCGTCCTCTCTCTGCCGGCGTCCATCACCAAGATAGCCGCCGGCAGGCATCATCAGACGGTCGCGCATGCGCGAGGATGTCATCGCACATGCGTGAGGTGACGTCGCGAGCAATGACGACACGGCAGGGTGTCACCCGGCTAAAGACTGGGTGACACCCGAACTCAGGACGCCCCTGCCATGATGTGGTATTTTTCCGAGTATTACATTTTACCTGAAAAATAAAATATACTAAGAACGTTAGATTTTGCCGCTATTTGCACAAAACAAACGTTCACAGAGATTCGTAGGACAAATGGCTCTATGAATTGTTTATAAACAGACCTCTAAAGGTGCCCATACACTGTACAATTCTCGTACGAGAATCAAGGGAAGTCCCGCGATCGTACGAGAATTGTACAGTGTATGGAAGGCGTGCGACCGTTTCTACTGTACATTCGCACGTCTTCCATCGAACAAGCAGGCTGGAAAACCCGCCGGGAATCGTACGATTCTCGGCGAGTGAGTGGCCTGCTTGTTCGACAACTGACGAACGGGCCGGTGTGCGCACACTGCCCGTTTGCCGTCCTTGCAAGCCCGCCCCTCATTGCAGTCATTGCAAGCCCGCCCCTCAAGAGGGCTTGCAATGATCGCAAGTACGATCTGCCTGTCCAAGATAGGCAGATCGTACGTTTTTTTAAGTACTTTACAACCATCGCAAGACTAAGGTCTTGCGATGGTTGTGGGGACTAAGGTCTTGCGATGGTTGTAAAGTGTATGGCCACCTTAACAGGGATATTCACAAACGGGTGAAGAGTTTGGAGAAGGCCAAAGAAGCGAACAATTTAGGGGAAAATAACTGATTTAGAAAAATTCTATAATTATGCTCACCCATGTTGTCCAAGATGGTTCACTTCTCCGGCCTTCTCCAAACTCTTCTCCCTTTTGTAAATAATCCTATAAATGTTTCAATTTATAGTAATATGCAAGCAGATGATAACTTCTTAGTAAATGATAGCTTATCGTGCACATTCAAACAGGAGGTGTGCCTTGTGGGAAGCAAATCAATGATTTCAGAGATAAAACACTGTTAGGCACAGACGGGGATTGAACCCATGATCTTTGGTTTACGAGACCAACGCCTTACCACTTGGCCACTGCGCCTTTCTGCTTTATGTCTTAGAGTAGACTTCACTGGGCCAATAGATTGTATCACTTACTCAAAAAATTTACCCAGTAGACTACCGTTTTTCCCCGAAAATAAGACAGTGTCTTATATTTTTTTTTTCCACGCAAAAAGAAACACTAAGTCTTATTTTTCGGGGGATGTCTTATGTGTACCTGGCTGCAGCTGTCCGCTCGTGCGTGCGTGCAGGCGGGAGGGAGCTGCGGCCGCTCTCTGCTCTAATGCCGTCCATGGAGCCAGAAAGGTGGGCGTGCGGGGGGGAGGGGGGCGTGTCTGG